TATTCCTTTACGCTCCCAGTGGGACACAGGGCTTCAAGCTTTAGCTTTGAAGTTTCAGTAGCAGTAATGTTTATTTTTACGAGTGGGGTTGTTAGCATCACACCCAACCTCCCCACTTTATCGGGATTATAACCAGCGAAGAGAGGTAAGGGTGTGCGGCGGCCTGGACTCGAACCCTACATGCATTGACGGTTAGCACTCAACCGTTGAACCACCGATGCATCTGTATTAATGACTCCAAACTGTGTGATACCATTTCAAACTGTGAGTTGATGAAGTTTCAGTGTGAATATAGTATTTTTATAAATGCCACGATGTAACTCTAATTAGAAATTTTGCCTAGAATGAGCTGTCAAATTTATTTCACCTGTGTATGACTATATATCAAGCATAATTAAGTGTAAGTTATTGTTTAGCATGTTTTTCTGGCATCCACTACTTTTTATCAGGGGGTTCATCAAGTCGCTTACGACACTTGCTGTAGGCATCTTTATGAAGTAGCATCAATGTTAATCTAAATCTCAGTCAATCTTGCACAACATTTTGTTAGCCTTAACATGGTTGTAAACGACATAACTTCATATTTTTGGGATATCTGTGCAGGTAATAATTAGTGCTTGAAATGAATTCATCTTTTATACGTTTCTTGACATTGTATCAATATCTGTTTCTATTAATTTGTACACATTTCAACGTTTTTCGATAAATTTACTCACATAGTACAAGGACAAACATCAGAATTTTCGACAATAATGTCTAGTAAAAGCTTCTCTGCTGTTCAGAGGCTTGGCACGCACATCGCCAAAAACGCCTCTAATGGCTTGATGCAGACTTTTGCCGAAACCTGCCTTCATTGGTGAAAATCGCATCACAGTCCAGAAAGAAACAGTGATCAAAAGCTACTCAGAAAGAAATCAAGATGGACTGGGCATACCCTGAGGAGACCTGTGAGTGACCTAATTAAAAGCAACTTATTGGGCGTATGTTAGAAGAAGACATGGAGGAGATCATGTAAAAAGGGGACTAAAACCTGTAGAAAGTGATGGTGCTAGATGAAAGTAATAGCATGAAAATGAGTGTATTAGAGGTGTCCAGCTGCGATCATGTGTGTTTACTCAGAATATAAGTAACAAATAATAGTAAAAATAATTTTATTTCACAATTAAGATTAAGATTTTTGTTAAATTTATATGCAAGTAGACTGAATGATGTAAATTACTTTCAGATGGGGTCTTGTTACACGGACACACAAAGAATGGAGAATATGATCCAAGTTCATTTTATTTCCTATATTTTCTGTATTATATACCCTTTTTATTTCTATACGTCCCAAGTGAAATATATAAGCTTTGAAGTTTCAGCATCAGCGGTTTTATTTTTGATGGATGAGGTCGCTAACCTCATGCCCAACCTTCCCTCTTTACCAGTCTTATTACTAGCTTAGCGACGTTGTAAAGTGAGTCAGTTGGTGATCGAAAACCCGACTCACATGTGAGGTTGGTGAACATTCTAATACTGTGACACCGACGCACGTATTATATGACTGTGTGTGCCGTATTTCTTTCAAGGTAAGAGAAAATATTCATCACCGTGCCTAACATGAAATATCCTTCAACATGTACTAAAATGATATATTACCTTAAATATGTTGAAAAAGTTTGATGGAATACTGTTTGGTAATATTGCCTGATTTCATGCTTTAACAAAGGTGTGTTTGTTAGACCTAAAATAGGCCTAAAATAAGATGCAGTTCATAACATGATGTGTTTGACGTCCATCACCTTTATTAATACTACTGTATCTCGTAGTAGTGTTCAATAGGTAGGCTGAATAATTTTACTTTTCTCGCATGCTTACTGTATATAGAAGAATTATTGTTAAGATTACACTAATTTGTCGATAATGTCTGGAAATCCACATCATATTGACAAATATGCTGAAACGCTTCATAGTGGTTGAAATTCCTTAAGTTTAATTTTGAATGGAAGTTGGTCAGGTATTTGCTAATAGGGGAACTTCTGAAAAATTTCATGCAGATTTACCGACGTAATTTACTGGTATATATATATATATATATATATATATATATATATATATATATATATATTGAAAGACGATAACCGAAAGGACAGTGATATAAACAGACGCCATAGTTGTCATGGTGATAAGGAAAACAGACTATTGAAACTACTTGAAAATGACAAAACTATCAAGATAATTTTAGAATTATAAGCGACATAATTATTTTTTTCATATTTAAAAATTATAAAAATAAACTCGTTAAAGTATGAGCCATAGATGATGCATCTTAGAATAATACAACAATAATTCTCTAATAGAAAATAAACAGAAACAAAGTTTGGGAGTGAAAAAGCATTGCAATTTAAGAAGACGAATTATCTGAAGCAAAGAAACTGTAGTCAATTGCAAAATGTCTTCCAAAAAATAGTAAAACAAGATGTAGCTAAAGAATATCAGTCAGTGATTTTGACACACCTAGTTCTCAGACAGACTATATACTTCAGACATTGTCGACAGAAGGGTGTATATTTGAGAAATGTTAGTCTAGTACAACTATTCACCAAAATCACATCTGACAATAGATTGAAGTGAAACTTTCAAAATAGAACTTAGCACAAACTGTAGCCGTCCAACCTTCCATACTTCAGAAAAGAATACATAAAGACAGAAGGGGAAGTTAAAAGAAATCATATTACAAATGACAGTATAAAGGAGGGAGTATAAATTCGCGAAGAATGAATAAGACAGCGTATATGCGCGATTAAGGATGATTTCAAGCGAATGATCTCCAAACACTTGTTCTTAGCGTCCCAAGTACCCCAACCAGGATATCTACATCTCTCAGCTTGGCTCGAACCAACAATCATCGAATTCATGGGTTAATACCACGTTTCAGTTTGACCGTCCTTAACTCTTTCTGGTTTAATCGTATGTCAGCTGACATTGCTCACCGAGGAATGCGATGGCTTGTCATACGTGATGTTTGTCCAAACCACATTCACCAATGCAATTTCATAACCTCATTGATAAATTTTTCACCTTGCTTAACACTCGACTGCTAACCTCAAATATCTACGGACGAAGATTGCCAGGCCCTTCTGGCACGACAAACCAGCAAACCTGAATTTCCAAGTGTTTTTGGTTTAGTCTTTGTTTAAGTATAAGTAATTCTGTTTCGATGCTTTATTAAACGAACTTCACTCAGAAACTTTACGGTGTTGAATAGCAACATCCTGTAGAGCTGACTCTCCTATACTACAGTATTTTGACTTATGATACTAAAAGGTACAGTACATGTCGAATACATTGGAACATGGTAAGGGGGGTCAGTAATCGTGTGTAAATAGCTTCACGAAGTGACTGATCTTTGATGAACCATAAGTGAATGATAGGAAAAGGATGGAATAGTAGTGATTATATTGACGAATTATGCTAAATGTAAACATCGAAATGTTTGTAAAAGTGCTGTAAACTCCACTCAAGCGACTTGTCACTATTTTGTTTCTATAAATGATATAATATGTGATACAACTTGTTAAAAATACAACTTAGTGAGTCCTAGAAATAATCCATGACAAAGTAGGGTACACTGAGCATCTGGCGTTTGACCTAGATAATTCGAACAGATAATATTGTCTACATAACACGCAATGAAACGAAGAATATTCAGGGATTTTTTAGCAAGCAGAAGCAAAGAACGATCTTTTGGCCTACTTTATTTTTATACAAGAATGGCCAGTCAACACAGTTTCATTATCAAAAACTCTAGTTGACAATGAACTAATATACAAGGGTATTCCTTTAAAATACGTACTCACAACTTTGAGGACAATTTATATATGAAACGAATGATGAAAATGGCTAAATTATATGTCCATGCAGTAGGAATGAATATAAAATCTGGTGGAATATATACCATACAGCACAGGTATTTAGTAATTGAACTGTTACGACAGCGTGACATTATAAAAAATATTCACAGTAATGTCATTATTTCCGGTCAGGGTCATAAAATGTAACGAATTTATCTGACCTTTAAGGTCAGAAATCAGGTACGTTTATTGCTCATTATGTCACCCACATCATTGACTTGAAGTTGACATCTTAAAATCTTAAATGAAACCTCCAGCATATTAGAATTAGAGGATAAAAAAGCGTATACCTTGTCCTTAGGATAAAGTGGTTTAGCGTCAAGACTAATAGAAAAAAAACAACTTTCTTAAGTCTATGCTACGGGATTTATATAATAAAAATCTTCGATGAAAATATCATACATCTTTAAAACAAAACCACTAATTTAGCCCTATTCTGCTTAACAGTAACTTTAAAGTACAAATGTAACACCTTTAGTATTTGTCTTTTTTATTGTAGAGTGATGTGGAAGGCAGACGGGTCTATCTGAAGCTGAAATTCGTTCTGTTAATATAAGTAAGTAGTTTGCTTTGGGCGTCAGTGGAACAGCGGTTAGCATACTCGCCAACCATGCACATGGTCCGGGGTTCGATCCCCGGCCGACGCACTCCGTTTCCTTGCTAAGCAAGAAATAATCCTGGTAAAGAGGTTAGGTTGAGCATGAGACTAGCAACCCCATCCTGTAAAAATAAACACTGCTATAGAAACTTCAAGCCACTGGCTTGAGGCCCTATGTTCCACGGGGAACGTGAAGGAAATAAAAAAAGTCTACTTTGGAGATGATGAGACGTATGTCACACCTGGTGTAAGCAGAAAGCAATAAACTTTTTGAAGGAACCGTGTGTGAAAAGTAATCATTATAAATATGAGTATCAATTATCACTGAGTTATTGTAATCAAAATAGGTGTAATCATCCGTATTGAACAATCTGTTAATAAATGACTCAACTTTAACAACCTCTGTAGAGATATTAAGTGGAAAGGAAATAAGATAAAAGCAACCCAACTTTACTACAAGGTAGAAAGATACACAAAATTAAAGAAATTCAACAGAAACAATCACTTACCATTACTATTCAAATCACAAACTGAATGGTCGTCAAGGTAAAAATCTTCTGAGCTGAAATTTCAACAACAACAAAAAATCATTAATTAGGCGTCGACTACTCATGAGTAGATACAGAGTATTACTGAAACACAAAACTATTCTACCTGTTAATTTGATAAAAAACATAATAATTCATTCTATATTTACTCCTATGATAAACATTACTGGTGTTTATTTTCATATGGTCTCTATGCATTCAAATTACCAAAAATTGACACTTTTTAGGAGTAATCAAAGTGATTAGGAATGAATTCCCTAGAGCACTACAAATTTATCACTGATTATTTTAAAAGTAGTTTTTATCAAACAATATTTTAAAAACTCAAAATCAGGTTTAGGATATTATGAATCATGAATCACTAAAGTGTATAAATATACATGTAAAGTAATTATTAGTCGTAGTTTAACCCTTAGAAAGTTTAAGTCATTTGGGAGATTCAAACCTTACTGACATTTTAGATATGCGGTGTTTAGACTATGATTTTCTGTTGTTAATATTGAATAATAAATGATGTAGATGTTACGCCTTAAGTGCTCTCGGTAATCTTTACATCCAATGCAAAGCCAGACAGCTGGCAAGGTTTTTGTAGTACACTTTTTTCATGAGTTCTAGAGTGAAGTACAGATATGCCTAGGAATATACTGAAAATGCTAGTGATTTTGTGCACGATATTTAAAGTGTTTGTTCTACTGCGTTTATACTGTATGTATTATCACTGTGAAACTTGAGACGTAAAAAGCGAAGCAACCAATTAAGAAGAAATTCTTTAAAAGAATAAGTGGATTAACATAAGAATAGAACTTCGGCACTGCAGTAGAATATAATTTCATCAGTGGGTAAATTTATCTGGTAATTTTACTTGTAGTTAAAATAAAATCAAAGAGTAAAAAAATAAAGAAATTATGTGCACGAAGTTAGAAAGTTGCACGAATGCCCTGATGTGATTATGAGCAATAAAAAGTGTTCGAGACGTCAATCAGTAAACAATACTGTATCAATGACTCCACTATGGATGAAATGCAGGACCTCCAGGATACGAAGTAAATCAGCTGACCATTTGGTCACTGGGCTGAAATTCAGTAACCCTTTAATTCGAATTACCATCAGTTAGCGATATAGAGCAACTTCCAGGGAGTACCGTAAATGAGAGTCTGACTCACATTGAACATGACAGACGTTGTAGATTGTATTTATATTCACAAAGGGGTGCAAGATTTACTTCTAGGATTAAAAAACTCTTCTGGTCTGATTACCTGATAAAATTATTTTGTCACCATGGAATGAATGGTGTAACGCCGAGTAGCTTTCAGCCCTGAATGAATAAAATCAGCCAGGTTACTATTGCAGTGACCGAAACAGAAGACAGGTCATCTCTGTGTTGTTTGAAATAATGTTGGAGATTTGAAGGTAGTCGGTAGGAAACCATGCACTCATGTTTTGTAATTATTAACATGCATCATAAAGATGTGTACACAGTCACGGAAGAAGTTTATAATTTTTCACAGATTCGATTTGATATTTTTTGTTTCATTTTGTAGTTTTACGTCCCCAGTGGAGTATAGGGCTTTAAGCTAGAGCTTTGAAGTTTCAGTAATAGTGGTTTTTATTTTTACAGGGTTGCGTTGCTAACCCCACGCCAAACGTCACCTCTTTACCGGACTTAATAACGGCTTAGTGAGGCTTAGGAGTGCGTCGGTGGGGTATCGAACACCGGGCAACGTGAGACCTGTACTGACAAATACATGCCTTCTTTACTCAGTAGTATAGGTTAAGCAGAGTATTATTTCGGTAGAAAATTCAATAAATGCTGAGCTAATAACTTTTGATGCCGATCATAATTTCTATCAGAGGAAGAACTGCTCTAGATAACATCTTTTCGTGACCAAAGTAATATTCACTGGGGAAAAATCTTCTCTGAGTACAAAGGATGAAAATTAGCAGGTTACCATCTAATCTGCCATTTCATCCATACATTTCACATCATTTAATCTGAAAGTGCACAATAGGATATTGGGGTTTCTCTTCCTCCTTTTGTAATGAGACGTTGAGTATCAAAGGACTAAATTTCTACTACTAAATCATTTCTTCATTTCTTTGCTTTCACGGTTTAACATAGTTGCCTCAAGGTTATGAAATTCAGGAGTGGTGGTGTTTGACACAGTGTGGCTGCTATATTCATGCCCAATCTCCCCGTTCGTCCGAGATCACTACTAGTCAATAACCTAGGTGAGGTTTAGGAGTGCATTCGCGGGGATTCGAAACATGACATTAGGAGTCTGGATGATGAGCATTTAGCCATTGAACCACTGACATGGATCCCCTACCAGGTATATGGTAAATATAAAGCTAATAGATATAATCTTTTGTGGATTTAAGATAACTGACAAATTAAATAACTGGTATCCATACTGTAAAAGACACTATGTATAAGAAGAAGAAGTAAACTGGAAATTTATTTTTATTAAAGGTTAATTTTACCTCCTCATTCTACTATTGCTACTGATTTAATTTCATTTAAAGATCTAAACTTCCATACTGTTTTCATTTTATTTTCGCTTTCGTAGTGTGCGGTAAATAATCAAATAATTAAAATTTAACCTATGCAATAATGATAATAATATCACAGTATTTCACTTCATCATTATGTGACCTTAGGCCAGTTATATTCAGGTTGTTAAATTGTTGTGCAAAATTTCAGTAATCTTTCTAAGGTTCTAATTTTTCGATTTTTTCAAATTATACCAAAATCAGCTTCATAAACACCTAAATATCTAGTTTTACTGATTCAAATTTTTGTCCCAGTAATGTGTACAATATAAATTCTCACTTCTATAAGCCGAAAGTCTCTCCTTTCTTTTGTTAAATAAGTTAACTGTAACTTTTGTAGCAGGCTAATCAAATCGACGGAGTGGATTTAGTGATGTGTAGTGTATCGGTTGTTGTGGTAGTGGTAGTATTAGTAGATTACTGAGCTCACTATTTGATGTTAAATATTAAATAATTACAATAGGAAGATTTTTATAATTATGAAAAAGCACGTTTTGCCCACTTAACCCATTTTCGGTTTAAAACATAAATTTAGACTATGGGTTTAGTAGAGATTTGGATTAATTTCATAACACTCTTATCGCCAAGAGCCAACACTGAAAATCAGACAGTATTGGATAGGCCGTATGTTCTGTTTCGGGACGCCTTAACAGTGCTCATCCTCTATTCCATAAGAGATTGAACACGGGACTTTAAGGCTAGGAGTTCAAGCCTGTTGACAGTTCAGCCACTTGGCCGGAAATTCAGTAACTCATGGTCTCTAACGTCTACCAGTTCATGAAATTACAGGTCTGATCACAAGCTGACATCAAGGAGTACTTGACAGCTATTTTTCCCTAGTTGAAGACTCTTCAGTAGCATGCACTATATATATACATGTATATATCGTCAAAAGTTGGAATTTAGGGGCCATTGGATCAGGTCCCATTGGCTGAGTCGTCTACTAGCCTGCCTAATAACCATAAAATCCTAGGTTGGACCCCGGTGGGTGCGCACTGCTGGAAATTCCCAGACAGGATGAATCAGGCTGGCATTACTTCCTAGTTTCCCAGCAGTCCTCTACCTGAAGTCAGCTCTTGATCAAGCCAGTAACTGACCAGTTTCCTGCAAACTGACATTTGAAAATTCGTGATATAGCGCTACCGCCAAACGAAGGCATTCCATAAACATTCAATTTGTCTCGGCATAATGGACCCTACTGGCCATCACTTCTCCTCATAACTTCTGAGCATCTATCCAGCAGGCACTAGAGAGTTGGAGATTGATATTTAGACTATGGAATTATGTAGGGAATTGTATTGATTTCATTGTAGATTTCGTCGCAAAGCAACATCATTCAGAAAATCACTGAAATCCACAGATCACTGGATATAAAAATGATCTTGTGTCATGAATTGATACATAACAATAAATATTTAAAAACTTAGAATAACTGCCTTTATTCTCCAATTACAAATTAGCTAAAAATTATAAATAAATCTCTGTAGAATACAAAACATTTTAATTGGAAATAAGAGTTTAATACTTAGCTCGAGAAAACACACAAACTTGTGTAATACAAAACTTACCATATTGATGATGGAGATGATAGAGATTGTCTCTGTTGCAAAATTTCCTTGACTTCTTCAACAACAGAAGGACAAAACCATACACTTTTGGTTATTTCTTTACTATCAGTTGAGTCGAAATTTGTATCACTGCTTTCAAAGGCTTCCAAACTGTCATTCAGATTTAAAGAAATATCTGTAGAATCATAAGGGATTCGTCTGTTTTCTTGTTGACCTCCTGGTACTTCAAGAAGATCTTCCCCAGTGGCGACTGCAATATCATCTCGTCCACTTCTGTCATCTAGATAAGAAGCTGTTGTTCGATATGATGATGGGGAAGATAAATCTTGTAAAGCAGTTGATACAGGTGTCATGAGTAGACTGAAATCCAGTTTCATCTCATCAGCTGTATCATTGAGTTTATGTTCAACGCTGAAATCATCAGTCCTATTTATGCTCATAGATATGTTTCCAGTTTGGTCATGAGAAACTTTCAAATCTGTTGACAACTCCAGGGAATCAGTAAATTCATCACTCTGCACAGGTGAACCAATTTCAACCTGTTTTTGATTTGGTTGTAGTTTTTCATCATTGAACTGGCAGTCATTAATTAATTGCTTTCCTGTTGAACTCATGTTATTTATGATGACTGACATCCCATCTGCGAAGTATACTCTACGCTTTCCCACTTTCTTCACGGGACTGAGCTTTCTATGAGATTTTGACTTTTTACACATCGTATCTGTGAGAACGGGCAATCCTCTGTGTGTTCTCCTAAAGTCTAACTTTTTCATTCGTAGTTTCTTTGACGGAGTACTTTTTTTAGGCGTTGATGTTAAAATGCTTTCGGAAAGAGACATTTTAACGCCAGAAATATCGGTAGTAGTAGTAGTAATACTATTATGTCGAATTTTGTTGAGTTCTTTCGATGCTTCATGGGTGTCACGAGCTGAAGCATGCTTTTCAACTTTTTTCATTTGATCATCGCTTTCATCATTGTCGTCGTTAATGTAACTGTCGTCAGCCATAGCTAACGGTTTGGCTAGAATCAGTTTTTCAGTTGTTTCATCTTTCTCATTGGAATTGTCATTGTTTTCACCATCATCAGTTTGTGACTCTTGATTAGTTAACTTTGTATTCGAGAATAATTTGCTTTCAGGTTGATTAGATTCAGATAAATGAATGTTTAAAAGGCTGTTTGTTAAATTATTTGACTGATTTACTCTCATGCTCGAATGCGTTGTTACACATATGTCACCGTGTTCTGATTTGTCATTGAATGGAAGTTTACTACAAAGTAGAAACCAAAGAGAAGATGTTTAGTCATAGCAGAAGATGGCTTCAATTGAATTTACATGTGTATTTAAATATAACATCTGCAGAAGAAGTAGGATTTTATAATAGTCGTTTTGTTGAACTATTTCTTACCATATATAAATGAGGGGTTTTTTTCAGACAGGCAAACATTTAAACAGTATTGCATCAGGAGATATATTAAGAGTCTAACTGTCCATTTAAAACCATTACATCAAATAATAGTGTACTTAATTATAAAGAAACACTGCATCATTTACCGTTTCCATATTTATCTGATACGTAAATCCTAATTACAGATTGAAAATTACAGTTTGCACCTATTAGTTTTCAGGTTTAATTTTTCCCTACCGTTGACCAATCGATTCCATATTAGTTTGTTTATTAGATGTATCACACAGTGAAACAGTAAATAATGCTGTTTCACTGTGTGATACATCTAATAAACAAACTAATATGGAATTACTTACTACCACAGTGCCCAAGTTTTACACATATATTAAGTTGACCAATTGATTTTACTGAGCCAAAAGACTCAGTTGCTGTTGACAGTGTTGAATCGTATTACGGACGCCTCGGAATTGTTTTAGGATTAAAGAAAAGTTATTTTTTGTTTGGTGATTACCAGCTGTGAAGTCCAGGAGGCACATCTCGTTCTCATTGGGACTAGTGAGCTAGATATGTCAGCATTCTCAGTGAATGATGGTGTCCCGACTAAGAATTAAACGCAGTAATCACTTTTTCAAACATCAAAGCATCTACCAGTAGGCCACGTGGCTATTGCGACCTAGTCAGTTGCAATTTGTTTAGGTAATTGACTAGTAATGGTTGAATAAGTGTTTCATGTGTCGGTATTTATTTAGAAAATTTTTGTTAAAAGCACTGGTACAAAGTGTGGAAAATAACAGTCGGAGAAACCTGCGTAAAACCTAATACGTAGTACACAATTTACAGGCCTTTAGTTAACTTAAAATTCCACGTATGACAATGACTGAAGATGAAAACCAGTTAATTATACGCAAAACCATTTGAGTTTAAGTTACCTATTAGTTATAAATAATTCATAATTTATCCTAAAAATAACAACCTATTCCTTTCAATTTAAAAAAATGACACATTTTTTTCTATCTGAATGATATGCGATTGTAGTTAATTAGTTGTCTTAAGCATTTAACGGTACGTTTTTTTTGAGTGATTCTTTTGAACGGGAATAAAGCAGCGGTAAGATTAATTAGAATAATTTTGTTCAGTTGATTACATTGTCATCTATTTTGTATACTATATGATGATCTATGCATTAGATATTAAGCTATGGAAAAGGGATGTGTTCAGAAAAAGTAATACCTGACTCAGGTACTAGTTTTTTGATTCAAACATTAGGTACACTTTTAAGTCATTGTTGTGGCACTTCGAAAAATCTCAAGGGGCGTATTAAACTTAAAGTATATAAATGATATATATATCACAGTCAACTCGATACATCGTCTCTAGAAACTGTATGCCGCTGATGAGCTATTTCCTTTCTTAGGCTATAAGTAGTGAATTGCAAGGCCAAATTTACTTCCTTATATGAACTGTATTATTCAGTTTTTCACTAAGTATTGATATTGGACATTTGATTAATTGTTCTAAAATGATAATTAGTTACTTCGTGGAAAAATCGCTTTGATTAATCGAGAGATTTTGCAACTACTTTCAGTTGCAGTAATAGTCGGTTTCAATGAAATTTCTGAGTTTCACTTAGGTGACGAAAGCCTAAGTATCTGCTAAATACAATGAAATTCGCTTTTTTCGTGAAACAATTCAAATTATTTTGGTTCTCTGGGTTCAAAGCGGAACATAGGCCTTCAACAACAAATTTCCACTTTGTTTTTACTTTCCAAAGTCCTCTTCAGTTGCGTCCACGACTGCCCATAATCTCTCATCTCTTCCTAATCACCCTCATACTGACAACCCACTCGTCGCTTCCTATTGAGATTCTACTCGAGCAGGTGGCATGGTGCACGATGTCGTTCGATGATTTCTTCAATATATGCTCCATCCATCTTCTTTTTCTTCATAATATTTCTTGAGCAATCGGCTCTTGATCGGTTTGTTGCCAGAGTTTCTTGTTGCTGATCCTTTCTGGCTATTTGGCCTTCAGTATGGAACTAGAGAAGGCAGCTGTTGATAGAGGTCTGTAGCTTGTCGTAAATTCTTTTCGTGACACGCAATGCAAGTTTTTAACCCATATAGAATAACTGACTGACTTCGCATTTGTGTTGAAAACCTGAATCTTATACTTTATGTCGGCCGAGTGGAGAAGATTTCCAAGATTTGCCTTTCCGATTCTGATTCTGAAATCTCCATTAGTTCCGCCTGTGGTTGAAACGATACTTCCTAGATAATTGAAGGAAGTGACCTCTGCTAAATCTCTCCCGTTGATGGTGATTGGTGCTGCGTGTTGCTGTTGCTGCTGCTGTTGGTTGTTTACATTCATCATATCCGTCTCCTCTATGTTCCCCTACAGTCCTGTCTTCGATGTCTGCCTCTTCAGCCTGTTTTTTGTTTTTCTGCTTCAAGTGTTCCAGTTTGTGTGACATTGGGCCTAAATCATCTGTGAAATCCAGGTATCGGGGACTTCCTACCGGTGGTCCATGGTATTCCAGTCTTCTCATTGCCATGTACGGTCTGGCGCACAATCCAGTCCATCAGAACTAAGAATATCATCGATTATAGTAATGGGAAGCCTTGTTATAATCCTGTATGCACTTCGAATGCTGGTTATGTGGTATCTCTAGAGAAAGATTTCGGGCTCTCGCAACTCAGAATCCTAGTAAATAGCGCACAAAAATTCGAGGTGACTGATAAAGAGTGTCAGTTCCAGAATGACAGCAACACTTTACACTGAGATGTTAAAATTTTGTACTGATGATATATAAGTGGGTTGAAATGCACGTCTCAAATTCTCACTGTTGTTTACCACCAAGAGAATAAACTATTCAGAAACTTAATACATTTAATCCCCGTTTATGAATCTGAATAAAGCAAGGGAGCAGTTACATTAGTGGAGCAGCAAGAAAGGATTACCTCCAACTTTCTGAACATATATCAAAAAACCAAAGTCTCAGTGAAAAAACGATTACAACAGTGCCATTACCAAACATCTCCTTGATATGGGTTGTGATGTGGAAATCACAAATTCCTTTAAAATTATCAATAGATAAAAAGCTCAATTCTCCTCAATCACCTGAAACCTGATTTATGAAATCAGAAAGAAGCAGTTATCAGCAGTTCATCCTTGCCAACCTGATTACTAAATGTCTTTATTCTCTCTTTTATTTGATCACGTAATCTATGGCTTTGACCTCATCCCACCCTATTTGATATAGTGTAGTTTTGCTTGTCTCTGGCTTCTACGATTTGAGTTGAATGCAGTTCATTGTTACCCAATTTATTAGTTACTCGTTATCGTGCGGATCTTTTGTCTTTATTACGTAACTCCTTTACCATTAAATGTATACATTTACTTTGTTTAAACTTGAACTGCCTGTGCAAAACCTATAAAAGCGTAATTTGCCGAGCACTGTTCAGTAAGTTTGAAATTTGCCAGTATGTTAAAACGTTTGTGTACGTGAACCCAACAATAATTTATTCAGGGTGTCAGCAGCTGATGAGAAGCCAACGAAATAAATGATAGTATCATATTAATCTGCAAAACTGTTGTTCTTGCTTTATTCAAATTAGAATTAATTTTTTTCTGAATAAGTTAACAAGTCAGAAAGATAATATAGGTGTGGTCGGTTCAGCGCATTAGACAGCTCAGAGAACATGACCCCGATGATTTTCATAGGTTTAATTGCTGCAAACCCACTGCTAAAACATCATTTTCAAAGCATACGTTTTCATTAACACATAACATTTAAAATGCATAATCTGTTGATTGTAATTATCAAAAGGAATCACAATTATCTTACCTGTTCAGTTGATAATATGACGAGTCAATAATTCTACTTCTTTGTAAATACTCTACACAGAGTTTACCATACTTTTCTGAATAATTAGTCTGTGTTGTTTGATCCAATGTAATCGGTTGTTGCTGCTGGTAGTCACATATAACATATTCATAAAGATAATGATGATGAGGATGATGGTGATAGTTTTCATAATGTGATAGTTTTTGACATACACATTTCATAAAATATGAATAAAATGATATAGAAGGAAACGATGAATGTATATTCTTAAGAAATACTAGACTAACGCATAGACGATTAACATGAGAATATAAACTTGAAGTTTTAAACAAGCTGTGTTGTAATATCATGACAACTTATTCATTATTCACAAAACATAAAGCAAACACAGATAAAATAAAATCACTGAAATCACATTTTTACTGAGAAAGAAAACTGCTAAAAATGACTTCTATAAAATAACAGAATGAAAGTTCTATTTAGCAAGAATTTACACAGCATTTTTAAATAAGTGTTTAATTTCTTATAACACAAATGATCAGAAATATACTTCACAGATGATTGGTTAAACTTACTAGCCAATCAGGATGAAGCTTTAAGCTGAGCAGATCATTAACACAGTGTTGTTTATTTTTACTAGCACTACACTAGTTTTAAAGTAAACATATTTTTGAGGTCAGTGCAAAACACCGATTATGAGATGCAAATTACAGCTGGAAATTTTTCTTGTCAAATTATTAATTAAAAGTTTATCGAAAAGGTTAAGACCTATATTTTGGATTTAGGGATGTAAACTGTGCATTTATTTAAATGCTAAAACTAATATTAAATACAGTACAATATAACGACGTATAGTTGTATGAAATTCATATGGTTTTAAAATTTCTGATGCGATAAACACATTGAAATCCCATAATTATCTCAGGATGTGTATACCTGATTTCCAATATCTTCTTATTTTATATAAAGCTAAGGCTTTTTGACAGTGACACAATAAAATGTAGCATTGATTTCATTTAGAATTACAAAGAAAATTGATACTTGTGGTCAAGTATATTACTGCGAACAATTCACAGCTATTTTCAAGAGCTGGTTTGTGAGGATTAGATTTGTTTTTGTGAGTTTGACGATGGATTGATATCAGTTTCTTGAAGTTCTAGTGCGAATTCGTGACCAGTGAGGTCCATCCAGTCGAGTGTGAGAATGGATGTCCCACCAATGACATTGGTTAGGGATCGCGCTAAATCACGAATTGTTAGTTGTTAGAAATCATGGGCCAATGAATTGGGTCCCAGTGACTGAATGGTATGCGACCTTTCCTTGTAACCAGAAGGTCCTCGGTTCGAATTCTTGTGGTTGGTGCGTACTACTGATGATTTCAAAACTAGGAGAAAACAGCAGTCCGGTACTCCCTGGTTTTCCATGGTTCTCGAACTGATATCAATCGTGGTCAAACTCGTATAAATTCAAAGCTCAAAAAACAGAATTCTACACAATATGATTGCTTAAATATCTAAATTTCTATCCAAAATATTTCAATGAATAATTTATTACAGGTCGTCGAAACCCTTAAATGTTAGGAATGTTCTGATTGTCTTGATATTTCCCACTCAGAATAAATATTAACTACAAATGCATCAAGTGACGACAAGTTTATGCGAGATAATATGCCTTTCAAATTCCTGGACAAGAGAGGTAATGAACAGTTGCAGAAACTTAAAAGATTTACAGAGTGTAGATTTATAAAATGGGATAAAATTCTCTAAGGGAAAACTTTTGTAGGCTTGTAGCATTGGATAATTGTAAATTTCCTTTCTTTGGCGTCGAGTCCTTCTGTCATTAACCTGGAGAAGATTGGTTTCCATAACATAACAGCTTTGGTTGCTGCCAGTGATGTCATAATAGCTACTCTCTCAGTGTGCTCGTGGTTGTCATATGAGTGACTGGAGTAGATTACTGACTCTCCAGTTAACAATTTCAATAATCAATATCCATTCTGCCTGCTCTCGCAGATTCCCAGCACTTTCGTGCTATATATTCTCATTTCTTTGGCAACTTGAGCAGCCTTCTGAGCTTCGTACATTTTATGAATATTTTATATATAAGGTTCATCTCTGCTTTCATCGAAATAAGACATATATGCTGACTAATTTCTCGAGTGCTTTCATCAGCCCACTGCATCTGGTCTCTCCGATTCCAGCAAAGAATAAGTTTTTTTATATTTTTGCTGTGCTTTCAAGTTTCTATAATGACCGGATTGATTTTCTGGAGCAGGGATGCCGGTCCCACTCTCAACCTTCCCTCTTTTCCCAGACTTGGGACCAGCTAGAAAAGTGGCGAACTAGTAGACCAGGTGACATTTCATGAGTATATACATTACTGCTACTAAGTCAAGTTTCAAATAAATACTTGTGAACCTTGAATAGATTGAGGAATAAAAATGAAGGCAAGCAACTTGTACAAATAGTCATGTATGTCAAGGGAAGTACGAAAATGTTATCAATAGATAAAAAATCTATCTAAAACAAATTAATTCCAAAATTAAAATCAGAACTTTGAGTTGTACTAGTGACTGGAAAGAAAAGAAATATATTTTGAGAGAAGTTTCGATGAAGGCATCGTACAAAGAAGATCAAAGAATACCATCCTAAATTCAAATGAATGAAAACAATCAAGTCACTATAAACTGTGAAAGCATCGTCCTTGGTAAATTATAAACGAAAATAAAACAAACTCGTGAATATTGCTTGAATAATGAAAAGTCAAAATAAGGATCATTGCATAAAATTCAGAATGCGAGCGAAGGCATCCAGGCATTCCATAATCGCACTAGGAATTCATGGTGCAGAAATATAAAATCGATTTCTTAATAAAATCACTAGCTATCATTTAAAAGGCAGCTAGAAATTGAACTGTGTCGCAAACTGGTCTGTACCACTTCCTAACAAACGACTTTACGGCTAAATGGATGCTATCTTTGTAGGAAGGATAACCAGCATCATAAAGCTTAGGAAAAAGAAAACTGACATTATCTTAAATTAAATACACGATTTGTAGCCCGAGCTATCAGTTGAAAACGTTCAATTTTCTCCAAGCTTTGATATTCGACCATGGATGACTTAGTTAAGCAATTAATGAAGCCATAACCACAAAGAGTTTCTCAACAAAAGTATATTGATCAAGGCTATCTATGATCCTTTTGTTCTTATATTCAACTTACAGGCAAAATATAAACATTTCAGTCTGCTTCAGTTTAATAAATCATCACAGATAAACAATGATTCAAATCACAAACAATAATAACACTAAAAATATATTCAGTGTTTCCAGCTGATTAACAAATGGGATTTGACTAAGTACTTGTATAAATGAAATATGACAGTTAATAAACTTATTGGCTAGTTTAAACTGAACTTTTTCAGCCAAATATTCAATAGTGTTTAGATAAATACTTCGAATTCTTTTTTTTTTTTGTTTAAGTGTGTTAGAATGAACGAAAATGGCCTCATTTAAAAAACAATAATCCAGATAAGGACCTTTCTTGAATAAATTATCTTATCCTTATTAACATAACTTTAGGGTATATGTATATGCTGTTATGATAACTAACCTTGACATCGTTTTGAGAAATTTGAAGATCACATATTTGTTTGTATTCACTGTAGGATGTAGTAAGTATATCTGAAATACAAAACAAGTACATTCGAAGAATGAATATAGGATATATATATATATATATATATATATATATATATATATATATATATAGTCCAATTATACCATATAATGTCATTGAAAGATATTTTTGCTCAAAACTACATACTTATGAATGAAAAGTAATCAAAACCAGTAATATAGGTAATTATCTTAGCAACAAAATGAATGTTTTAAGGAATTATCATTAGAATTGAAAGTTTTAGATAACAGATTTCGTCAATTGGCTAGAAACTGAAGTAAAATTAAATAAGCAAGTTGAGCGACGTAATCTTATTAACGGGGTTGAGTAGAGCTCAGCTAAAATTGAAATTGAACAAAAGTCAAGTTAATAACATTAGTAATAAGGGGTAGGTATTTAATAAGTGGTGGGGGCAAGTGTTTTACAAATAAGAAACAAACAAAAAAGAAAAAGACGAAACAAAATTGCATATTTGTTGTTAAGATAGGTCAGGTTCACTATAGAGTTAATGACTGAACGAACTTCTTTTATATGCAGAGTTCAGATTTTAATATGTGAATTACCATTGCTTCTGTGGTTTGAAGAAGTTTGATTCTTACTCCTTTAGCAAGATTCTCACGTATTCTCTAGATGACTTGGAAGTTGCTTTGTAGGTTTGCTTGGTGCTTCGATTCAATCAAGTATTCCAGAAATAAGCTTCGGGGGGGACCGTTTTCTCATTTTTGAAACCATTAGGGTTATTGTTCAACGATACGTTTGGATAGTTGATTAGAAGGAAGTGAAATGACACCTACTCATTATAAACAATAGTAGTGATTATAGCGATCGAAGTGACGTAAACCAACGGTGGCTACTCTGTGGTAAATCAGATAAACTATCTAAACTGAATTTTCAAAGTAAAATATTGCACGAAAATGCAGTAGTTTATTTTGCTCGACTTCACAAAGGCACACATAAGGAGAAAAGTGAAGCCTTGAAATGCTTAACACATGTCTGATTCTTTTCAACTGATTCAGTTCCACAACCTCATCTGATGACAAAGCATTCTTACCTACCACTCTACGACAAAGCGCATTCGTGTTATTATTATACCACTTAATGCATAAGGTAGACGGGAAAATCAGCTGATCTCTCCAATTCCTCCTCTTTTAATGAACATGTCTCACGGGCATAAAAGCGGACAGGGGGAACTGGTACGGCGTATACGCGTTATTTGATCGCTAGCTGGATATCATGTTCACGCCAGAGAAAACATCATCTGGAGAATGCTGCAGGGATTTCTATATCCATGCCAAGATTTCATCAACAATCACTGCATTAAAGCCGATGTAACAGGTAGTAAGTCAATCTCTCAGTTGATAAAATCAGTTAGAGTTATACGCATTAGTATTCTGTGGTGAAATCAATTAAAAATGGAGACAGTGTGCTTCGCTAACTGACATGACCAGTTGCTCTCAGCTCATATGAAAATTCTGCGTAGACCCTTACATGACTGGGTGAACTCCAGTAGAGTACCCTGATTAGTGGGATATACTTTTCAGCACTTCATCACCGCTTAACATAGTTTCATTACCTCTTAGTCGACGGAGTCAAATGCCTGTTTTAGGTCGAGAAATGTGGTAAGTGTTTGACGCCAGTAAGCATACTTGTTGTACTGAATATCTCGAAGGTTAAGATATGATAGAATTATTAAGATGAGAAAACAAAACAAGTTTTTTTCGAAATTCCGAGTTTCATAATACCATTCGCAACTAAATTGGTTGATAACTTCTTAATAAAAGCGTTAATAAAATTCAAATGATACAGCGGATTTTATTTACCTACTTACCTTAATTAATTCAATGCTCTTAGTGAAACCCTAAATCAGTTAATTAAAGTTTTGATTTTCCTGTCTATTGATTGGACAGAAGTGCAGGTACATCCGGATGACGAGTCCCAAATAGGACGAAATGCGCATCCTGGATTCCACTGCTAGTCACCATCCACCAATTTAATCCTAAATCAGTTAGTTGGAGATTCAACGACTTAATCAATTATGTTGTCTAAGTTTAATCAATCACTTAATTTTTGATTAGGAATTACTCTTATAACTGTAGTTATTATTTTATTGTTATCATTATTACTAAAATGATAATAGTAGCAGCCTTATTCTGGTAAGCGTCTACACGATGTATAGAATTCTTAGAGTAGTTTCCCTTCATCTAGAATCCTTAAGTAAAATAGCAATTTCAAATATGCCCTGTGATGCAGTACTATTCAGTCAGAAAGATAGATTAATCCCACATGATATTTTGTCTTCATCTCCGAGAAGTTTGCACGAGAACGCTGTGAGTCGAAGACACAAGTGAATGGTTATAACAATAAGAAATAAAAGAAATCTCCGTATTTTGTTGGATGGAAATTCAGGCAGCTCAGTGATTCAGGTTAGCCGCCAGAATCATTACTGTTTACTAACAGCATTGCTCTCAGTTTACAGATCTCATTGAACTACTTTACTGTATACTCACTACAATGTCCATTTTTGTAAATTCAGGTCACTTAGGGCCACTTTTTACAAGTACCACTTAATACAATGTCTCTTTTCTCATTTTCCATGTGTGAACTATTCTAGTTTAATCATCACATTGCACGAAACACTTTATATAGCACATTTACCAGTAGATTTCGTTTCGAATCAATATCAGTTTAGAACTCTTCAGCAATAAACACTCATAGCCTTACCCGCATCCGTACCCAGAACCTGGATATCATGAGGTCAGCTCGCTGACCATTCCGCCACTCGTACTAACATTCAGAAACCCGTGAACTCTAATTTTGTCGATTCATGATATAGTGGTACAGCTGAACAGTGCTTCCAATGAGCACACACTTCCGTATGGTCAACGAACTTATTTCTTAATGTGAAAGGTCCTGGATTCGATTTCTGCTGGAGTTGTGAATATGAACTGCTATAGAGTCGGCAGCTAGGTTAAAACAGATGTCAAGTACTCCTTAGTTCTCAGTGATTTACTAACTGATGTTTATTTGTGATAAAGACTAGTCTGAAATTAAACCGAATTCCAACACAATCTATAGCCTAAATAATTACCAGTATTTGACTGGTTTTATAAATTGTTCTGTTTAATATGGACATGATTGTGCAGTTTTAAAAAAATGATTTATAGAAAATTATTTCACCACTGTTACGTCTTCTTTTTATGACTAAGTATGAGAATTTTCTTGTTCAATTAAGAATAAGTTAAATGAAGCTAAGGTAAAAAAAATGATAACAGCTGCGGACTAGCTTTTTTTATCGAAATTTACGAAGGGAACCAAATGTAAGAAATAATAAAGGCACCGAACAACTTGGTAATCGATGTAAAATGATGAGTTTTTAATGAAATTGTGAGTGTTATTATTTTTAAAATAAAACATAACAGAGCTAAAAGTCTACTTCTCACATACCAGGAGTATGTTTTGGATATCTTTCAGACTCGCAATGTCGAATTTCTTCTTTGGAATACTGAGATGTGTCAAAATTCTCAGCAAATGGGTACTGGTTTACCTGAAAGTGAAGAAGAAGAATAACAAAAAATACTTTGAAAATTTACTCCTACTTAACATCAAAATGTACTTGATAAGACAATAACTTTACTCTCTTATATATAAAATGTTGTAAAGAATTATTATGACATTACTACAACTATTGTATCAACCAATCAGAAACTCATATCAGAAAAGAAAAAAACTGTAATCGTTTTTTTAGAATAGAATGCATGAACCTACAGAGCTTTCTGAACTGGATTTTCGAAGCAGTGGTCGACGTTTAATTGATCTCGGATAGTAATTCAGAAACTTTTGGAAGATAAACAAAGAAAAGGTTGATTATGCACTTTATATTTAAAAAGTATAAGGGAAATATAATTTGATAAACACACTTTTCAAGTTTTGAAGTGATCAAATTCAAAGAAATTGTGTCACTTTATCAGTAGTTTAATTATTTACCTAATTGATTGAAAATTTGAAAGTGGAAACTTTGAAGTTTAAACATGTGTTTAAAAACTTCAAGCATTGGTTTTGTAGGGATTTTGTTTGATTGGTTGGAGGATTTCATTATGAGCTGACATGATTTAGGGAACCATTGGAAAACCTGCAAGGAGTACTGGACAGTTGTTTTGTCCTCCAGCTATTCTGGACTCCTCAGGGGTACGCACTCCCTGGGGTTCAAAACCAGGAACTTCTGGTTACAAGGCGAGCTCGTAGACCATTAAGCCACTGAGATCTGATCCAGTTGCCCATGAATTTTAACTCCTGTCAGTTTAAATATTTCATTGAGGCCTTATTACTGTAAGCTGCAGCTTATGTTTTCCACACGACCGGTTGTGAATCTGAAACTTAAAGATAAGGTACCTGGGCTAGACACTTCTAATTGTATCTATCGTTTCAGCTGTTTTCCTGCAGTCACTTATATTTCCCGTTTCTCTAGGAATCTTACTATTCTTGTTTGAGAACACCTACCAGTGCTGTTGTTAAATATGTCAACAGTCATACATCGTGTAAATAGGCCACTAAGCTAACACTGAATAATCCCTATCATCTACTGAGTATCACAGAGGCCTTTAGATACCGAACATCCCAAAACAGCAGAAGCCATTTAAATTCGCCTAGAACAACCGCAGCTCTGTTCGCAGTAGTACTGCGGTGAGAGCAGGCTGCGAGCCAATTGGTAGACATTAATCCACGTCAATGTCCAGGTCACTAATATTGGCCGTGAGAAAGTGTGAACAAGGCTGATTCAACAACCAATCACAGCAGACTTAACGTGGGCAAATACGATTCGCAAATATATGGCTTAAAGTTCCGAGAAACCAGAAACAACCAATCAGAGGACTGTGTTTGTCTGCTTGAATAAGCCATAATAATGTACATGAAATATATATAAATACGTGCTGATTTCCGTAATAAAACTGATTCCGGCCCTTGTCTTCTGTTGTTACAGTACTATTGCTATGCTGACCTGGTATCGAGTCTATAAATTCATAAATTCTATGTTATCTCCTTTTATCCATCTGATATTTAGTTTAGTTTTATATGAATCTATATTTTCCCTCTCTTACTGATGTCATTGAAATATGATCTGTTGATAATATTGACGCAGTGTAATTTAAAACAGCATAAATGTTGTTAATAAAAATATATCTTCAATTAATACTGTCATATTAATATGGAAACTGATAATGAATTTTTTGAAAAGAATTTTCTTTGTTCATTAATCAGTCTTTAATATTCCTATTTCAACAAATGATTAGTTTTCATCGTCCTACAAACTATTTTTGTGTCAAAAAGGCTTCCGAAGTGTGACAATCGAATTAAATGCGTAATACTGTGTGCCGTTTCAGTTACTGTTGACAGTAAGATGGTATTCTTTTTGGTTGTGAATTCATTTTCAAGGAAGCGACATGCGACTTGCGTAAACTTATTTCTTCACGCTTATTCGCCTCGACAAATCCAAGTCTTTTTCGCTTTATATAAACTGACATCAGATACCGCTGTGATACTGAGTAACTAAATGATGCAAAATATTATATTTATACACAAGTGATTATATTCACCGATACAGAATGTGTACGAAAAGCTCAAGAATATATCTGCAATTCTTTCGCTGAGGTCCAAGTGGAACACAAGACCTCAGCAGCGCATCAGTGCTCTCAGTCAACACTTGCTTTACTACTAGTAAAAGCTTTATTCTGAAAAATTAATTTATGCACATTACAGAATTTTCAGCTAGTTTCTTATTGCAAGATATATACTTCTTGTTCAGAATTTTCAAGTAATATAAACGATAATATATGAAGCCAACGGTATAGTTACATCCGAGGCATGCTACAGTAATCGGCAGTGATTCTCCTTCAGTTTGAAGCAGCAGATTGAAACCTGTTTGAAACTGTGCCTAATTATAAATTGTGGTTCTTAGACGTAATTGTATGATTAAAAGAATATGAAACGGAGTAAACACGATACATTTAGGTAGGTAGCTCGGTGATTTAAGCAAGACAGTAGTAAGTCTGGAAAAGTGGAAAGGTTGATGATGAAACTCATCCAATGAAAAACACCAGAATCGCTACAGACAGTTCAAAATACTTCACAGTGAAATACGTTGATGTCTACAATTTTTTAGTCAGATGTTTATGTATTACTGCTTATGAAGATAAGTAATGAATGCGTAAAGAACAATAGTTGTTATTTACGATGAATTTTTACCAAACGAGCTTACCCTATGAATTGTAGAGTACGTTTCTTTCTCTTGTAATCTTTGTTTCAATGCAGTAATTTCACTTAATAGTTGTCTTATGTAAATAGTACTTTCATCCTAAAATAATAATAATAATAATAATTGAATTTATTATTCAAAAGACATGAATTTAGTCATTTACCTCATTCACTTTGGGTGAATTTGTAATCATTTTTGCTTGTTGTGCATAGCGTAGTGTATTTACAGTCTCATGATATTGTCTGTAAGATGGGGATATAGCTGAAAAAAATGAATAATAAAAAAGATGGGACAGTTTAGAATATGTAAGCGTATGTGCAGTTAGCTGAGCCGCATCATATGTGTTGTAATAGTTAAAAAGAAACAGTCAGTACGACTGAAAAGAAATGATGTAAGGTGAAAAGAAGGGTTAAATATCTAAGTTTAAGTACTTCCTGGCTGTTTCATGATCTCCCTCGAACTGATTACTCTACAACCAGCTACAAGTTAATTTAAAATCTATAAGCTTTATATGGACGGCATTTTCATCATTGCTGGTGAAAATGTTGATCTAAATAAACTCCTTGAACTATTTAGTAATACTCACCTATCAGTCAGTTTCCAAAAGGAAAACTCCCCTTCCTAAATACTTAACTTTCAAGGAAAATTGACAGGTCAGTCCGGAAATCATATCACCAAAAATCAAAATTGAACAGACACCTCCTTAATCTCTTCGGCTTTTTAACACTGGGTAGAAAATGAAACCTCATCAGGTGCCTTCTCACAAAAATCAGTCACATACATACAGAAGACATTCTAAATAGAGGACTGGAGTCTTCCCGTAACTCTCTAATTCAGAATAGTTATCCACCAGTAGTCATCAGTAGACATATGAATTCTAAGACAGATAATCCACAGAAAAAAAGAATTATTTAAAAAAGGTAGTTGTAAACCTCAAGTTCTAAGATGACACATCAGCTGACGCTCTTCGAAGTATGATAGAGAAGATTTGTAGCTCAGGTGGATAATTTTGATGTGGTTTTGTTCTCTGAGCTGGATAGTTAGTTTGCGAAGCTTTCATCACCTTACTGGGTGACATCTTCAGCGCATACTTCAAATTGAAGTGAGCTTTTAGGTTTCTCCACGAGTTTATTAATCATTCCTCCTGGTGACCTTGGACGTGATTGGTTGTTTATGTATGTTTTCACACCTTCTAGGTTACTTGTGTTGGAACTGATTGTTTCTGTGACTTGAACTTTGGCCAATCGTGTGTGAAGTTTCTTTCTTATTGGTTGATAAATTTTGTCTATCTCGATGTGTCTATTGATTGATGATTCACTGGAATGCCAAGCTTCTAAAAATTCTCTAGCATTCTTGTTATTTCCTTTGTCTAATATTTGAACGTTGTCCCAGTCGAATTGATGTCCGTAGTTGTCTGTGTGTAGTGAAATGAGGGAGTGGATATCATGTCTTTTGACGGCTAGCTTATGTTCGTGGATACGAAGACGAAGGGGACGTCCACTTTGGCCAATGTAGTGTTTTTCGCAGTTGTTACAGTTTATTTTGTAGATGATGTTGGTTTTATCTTCTTTCGCTGTTGAGTCTTTTGGTTGACATAGAATTGAGTGCAGCGACTTTGTTGGTTTGTGTACGACGTCAATTCCTAAAGGTTTGAAGAGTCTTGTAGTGATTTCTGAGATATCTTTTATATATGGTAAGGCAATTTTCTTTGTGTTTCCTTGGTGGCTTTTGCTTTGGTAGGTTGGCTTGGGGGTATATGTCTCTTGATGAAATTCCGTGGATATCCATTCTTTTGGAAGACGTCCATGAGATACTTTTCTTCAATTTTTCTTAAGGTGGGAGTGCTGCAGTGAGTCCTTGCCCTCTTGAATAGTGTTTGTATGCAATTCCTTTTGTGTGTTATTGGGTTGTTGCTGTTGTAATTCAGTATTTGGTCTGTGTGAGTTGATTTCCTATAAACTTGAGTTTCTAATTCTCCTGTAGTTGTTCGCCTGACTAAGACGTCCAAAAATGGTATTTTGTTCTCGGATTCCTCTTCTCTTGTGAATTTGATGTCGTTGAAGACGTTGTTTATTAAGTTGTGAGTTTTATCTAATTCGTTTCTTTTGATGATTACAAATGTGTCGTCGACGTAGCGTATCCAAATCTTGGGTTTGATCTTTGGTAGAATTATATTTTCGAGTCTTTGCATCACTGCTTCTGCAATCAAACCTGATATTGGCGATCCCATGGGTGTTCCTTTGACTTGTTCATATATTTGGCCGTTGAATTGGAAGTATGTTGTTAGGCATAGATTTATGCATTCCATCCAGCTTGTGTGTTGCATTTTTGATTGTTGTGGCAGTTGTTCGTCGTTGCTAAGTAATTGCTCCATGGTTTCTTTTGCTAGGTTTTGTCCGATGGATGTATATAATGCTGTCACGTCGAATGATACCATTATTTCTTGTTCATCTATTTGGATGCCTCTGATTTTCTCTAGGAATTGGATAGCAGAGTTGATGGAGTGATCGCAAGATTCCGTTAGGTGTTTTAGTTTTCTGTATAATTCTTTGGATAAATTATATGTTGGAGTTCCTGGGAGTGATACAATTGGTCGTAATGGGATATTTGCCTTGTGTATTTTGGGTCTGCCGTAGAATCGAGGTAGGACTGGTCCATTGGATTTCATTCGCCATTGGTCTTGTTTTGTGATCTGTCCAGTTTTGCTGAGCTTGTTTAAGGTCCTTTGGATGCGGTTATCCAATGTTTGTATGGGATTTGTTGGGAGTTGTTGATATACATCTTCATCTTTGAGTAGTTCTTCAGCTTTCTTGGTATATTCTTCTCTGTCCATGACTACTGTTGTTCTTCCTTTGTCGGCTGGTAAAATGACGATGTCCTTCCTATTTTTCAGCTTTTTGAGGGCCTTTAGTTCTTGAGCGTTGAGTTGTGTGTGTTGTCTTTTCTGTTTGACCATTGGTACAATTGTTTGGCGTATCTCTTCCTGTGTTTCCTCGTTCAAGTTTGATGATTTGAGTAATGATTCAAGGCAGCGAAGAAATCAGTTTTTGAAGCATCTCCGGTGTTGTAGTTTAATCCTTTTTGTAGTAGTTGTTGCATACAAACACTATTCAAGAGGGCAAGGACTCACTGCAGCACTCCCACCTTAAGAAAAATTGAAGAAAAGTATCTCATGGACGTCTTCCAAAAGAATGGATATCCACGGAATTTCATCAAGAGACATATACCCCCAAGCCAACCTACCAAAGCAAAAGCCACCAAGGAAAGCACAAAGAAAATTGCCTTACCATATATAAAAGATATCTCAGAAATCACTACAAGACTCTTCAAACCTTTAGGAGTTGACGTCGTACACAAACCAACAAAGTCGCTTCACTCAATTCTATGTCAACCAAAAGACTCAACAGCGAAAGAAGACAAAACCAACATCATCTACAAAATAAACTGTAACAACTGCGAAAAACACTACATCGGCCAAAGTGGACGTCCCCTTCGTCTTCGTATCCACGAACATAAGCTAGCCGTCAAAAGACATGATATCCACTCCCTCATTTCACTACACACAGACAACTACGGACATCAATTCGACTGGGACAACGTTCAAATATTAGACAAAGGAAATAACAAGAATGCTAGAGAATTTTTAGAAGCTTGGCATTCCAGTGAATCATCAATCAATAGACACATCGAGATAGACAAAATTTATCAACCAATAAGAAAGAAACTTCACACACGATTGGCCAAAGTTCAAGTCACAGAAACAATCAGTTCCAACACAAGTAACCTAGAAGGTGTGAAAACATACATAAACAACCAATCACGTCCAAGGTCACCAGGAGGAATGATTAATAAACTCGTGGAGAAACCTAAAAGCTCACTTCAATTTGAAGTATGCGCTGAAGATGTCACCCAGTAAGGTGATGAAAGCTTCGCAAACTAACTATCCAGCTCAGAGAACAAAACCACATCAAAAAAAGCTCTTCGAAGTGCACTGACAAGACTGGTTCGAAAAACATTCTTCGCCGCATCTTAACGTCTCACCTTCTCGACACAACTTCAAAGCGTCAAACACGATGTTTCATCATACATACTATCAATATATTTGCTACTTTAGAGCAGAATATTTAGGCCGTACCAGTAGGTTAATGTCTAGATGCACACGAGTACATCTCCTAGTAAAGTCATCGGAAGGAGAAACTATTCAGATTATTAGCTCACTTTTTAAGCTCCTCACTTTTACAAATTTTTAGAAAGGTTTCCGGCTGCAAAATTCCTTATTACATACAAGAAAAACCCTAAACTGTGCAAACTGAAGCAGTTTATCAAAATTCCTTCCAATTACTGTGATCTTGAACTTATCTTTTTCAACTCCTACACTAATTTAAAGCATAATCCATTTTCCTTCCGTTTCCCCCTCATATTCATTCGTTTGAAACTCCTAACTTTAAAAACACTTTAGAAATATTCTGAATCTCCTAATGTTCTAAACAATAATTCCTGACTCCAAGCCCTTATAATTTCAACGATAATTATTGCTGAGGGACTTTCGTCACTTAATATTTTTAGATTGCGTAATCTACTATTTTTCTTGACATGGAAGTTCTTATCTCTTGTCACTAACTAATATGAAAAATAGGCCATGAAGGCATTTCAGTGACTTTTTTAGAACAACACAATAAGAAGACATAGTTTATCTGAAACGTGTAATGTATTGGCGCAACACATTTCGGACATTGTGATCACACAGGTACTTGTCATACACAGTTTTTATAGAAGGCCAGATACAACTGACTTCGGAAATAGATGTCCAACATCATCTATAGCGAAGCATATTATAGAGATGGGTCATAAGGTTGATTTTAACAATGCCTTTAAGCCAATATATAAAACAAGGTTGGGCCATATACTTAAATTCATTGAAGCATTAGCCATAAAAAGACTTAAACCAAATATTGTTATCACCTTTAACCTGCCTTGGTAATATAATTTAGAACCAAGGTACAATTTACTTCATAATATTTTCAAACCCCTTCTTTACCCTGTTTTTTATCTTTTTATCTTTCTTACCCACACCTTTTGCGTCTCCCTACCCATTATTTGTGACCTTGATCTGTTCACAATCTGACCCGTATGCCTCCTTGCCTTCTATAAAAACTGTGTATGACATGTACGTGTGTGATCAGAATGTTCGAAATGTATTGCGCCAATACATTACACATCTCAGATAAACTACGTCTTCTTATTGTGTTGTCGAAATTCATAAAGGAAACTAATTGCTTTAAACTTTTTAGAACACTCTATAACTGTACTGCTTTGAAGTGAAGTTCCAAAAAGAATATGCTATTCTGACTTATGTCTTTTTAATTTATACTACATGGATATTATTCATACTTCAAGTATCTGCTGGAAATTTTTAACAGTTTTACATGCAGAAATATTCACTTAAATCTCAAAGCCTCAAACTATTAACACAAGTAAAATAAACTTACTTGCTATCATTGTAGTGCGTGCATTTCCACCTAGTGAATCTCTTAAAAGCCAAGTTAACTTAGAATTTCTATAAGGAATATGAAATGCACTATAACAATTGCTTCGTCTTGTACTAGAACTTCTTGCACTATTCAGCGTTGAATTACTACTGTTTAATGTCAGTTCTAAATCATTGTTATCGGTTAAAGATTTTTCAGCTATATAAAAAATAAATATCACACAGATAAATATTAATTTTGCATTTATCAAATCTGAAAAATAACAAAAAAAAATGACACAATTCTTGTTCCTTTTTCAAAATTACTGACTGGAAGCATAAGTGTTGTAGTACTAATTTGATAGATTTTCATTCGCTGATACGTACAAAAGTATCCAATGGTTTTATCAGATTAAAATAAACATGGAGTGAGTAATTGATTAACTTTTAGAAGTAATTCCATTTTTTACCAAGGAACTAAATCTTACGAGACTGAGAAATCTGTCTGAAAAATTTAGCTGACAATGAATTGATAGTTATAGATGGCGTCGTGATACAAGCTAAGCGTCCAAATATATATATATATATACCTTAATTTAAAGTAAAATCTACGTGACGCAATAAACACAAAGCATTCTGAAAAGAAGTGTTTGCATGTGTTTTAAGTGCATTGTTGACACAAAAACTCCACATCAAAATCTCTGAAAGGAGACAACCAACACAACTTTAGTAAGGATTTCATTCTGTAGTAAAAAGCAGAGGTATTATTTCAGTACGTTGAAAATTGGATATCATTTCTAGACATATTAGTAAATGAGTCTATCAATGAGTCTACATCTTTCTGTGCATTGAAGTACATGGAAACTGCACATTATCACTGTCTACAAGAGTATTTGACAGTCTTGTTTCTTCTCGATAAGCCTGGGTAAAAATCTTCATAGGTAATTTTCACATACTCTAGGTTAATAATTTCTCCATGAGTTGATATCAGTTAGAGGACCACTGGGAAACTTGGGAGTACTGGATAGCTGTTTCGTCCTAGTTTGCGAGACTCTTCACAGTACCCACCCACCGCCAATAATAATAATAACAGCTTTATTTCAAACAGTATTTGTGGTACAGGTAGGATAGGTACAAGGATAGAACCCAGGACCTTCTGGTTACAAGGCGAGCTCGTAGACCATTAAGCCACTGAGACCCGATCCAATGGTCCTTGAATTCTAATTTCTGCCAATTTTTACGACATAGCGCGACCATTGCGCAATGTCCTCTTCGATGAGTTACTGCCTCATCTTCAACCTGCTGTACTCTACTGGTCACGGCTTCCAACTAGAACTCACTAGAAGTGATGTCAGCTTATGATGAAATCCTCCATTCAATCAAACAAAATCCCGAAAAAACCAATAATTGAAAATTAATCTGATGCTCACTAGCGACTGGTCATATTCAGGCAATTAACCTGGGGTTCTAGTGGGAAGCCATGACCAGTAGGGTACAGCAGGTTGAAGGTGGTGCAGTAACTCATCGAAGAAGACATTGTGAAATGGTCGCGCTATGTTGTAAACTGGCAGAAGTTAAAATTCATGCACTGGTTATCAGATGGGGTCCCAGTGGCTTAGTGGTCTACGAGCTAGCTCGCCTTGTAACCAGACGGTACTGCTTTTGAACTATGGTGATGGGCGCGTACTGCTGAAGGGCTTCAAAACTAGGCTGACGAAACGGCTTTCCAGTACTCCCAGCTTGTTTCCCAGTGGTTCTCTAACTGCCTCCAAAGCCTCAGGATGGTCGGGGGTGGGTGTCTTGCGCTGCGGGCTAGCCACCCCTCCGTACACCTCTTGAAATGCTCCCATATGACCGTGCGTCTTACATAGCCTCTCCTGAGGAAGTCCTACTCACTGCCTTCACGTGGCGGAGGTGTTTCTCACCGAAGTGAGAGGGCAAAAGCGGATGCCCGGCGCTCTTCACCGGGTTGACTGTCCATTGGATGACAGTCTAGGGGAGATGGCTAAACCCTGATTCCAAACCTCCAACGACTGGCGTATGAAGCTCACCGGAGTTCACCGACAGACGTATGGACAAAGAGCTTATTGGATGCCCTGGATGTCTGGCCCCATTCAAAAAGGCGTATGAACCGGACTCCGGTCACCGGCTGCCAATGGATAGTGGACTCCCTACTCCACTCCTACTGCCTTGTAGGTCACACTTGGTTGTGTAAAGGCTAGAGCTGCACTCTCAAACAAAAGGCCGAGCGATGCTGGGGACATCACTCGTACCCAATTCCCATGAAACTTCATCAACTCTCTTACAAACATTCGAGATGTTCATGAAGCCGGTTCATCCTCCCGTAGGAGATAGCCGAAGTAAAGTAAAAGTAAGTAAGTAAGTTCTCTAACTGATGTCAGCTCATGATGAAATCCTCTTTTTAATCAAACAAAATCCCTACAAAACCAACACTTGATAATAATTTCTTCTCAAGTTTTCAGCCTACTTTCGTACTTGTATGAAAATACTATAATTATTCAACTGGTTTTCATCAATATGCTTTTGGATATTGCCACTACCATTTAGCCTCTAAAAATCATATTGCCTAGAAGAAAATTTACGTCGCCACTAAAACTCCTTGTTATAGCCGTTACAATTGAATATTTTCTACAAGCTTGGTAAGAAAACTGAATTTTGTGCCAGATTAAGAATGAAGTAGAATACAGATTCTGCTCATAACATTGATTACAGGAGTCATAAAAACCAAAGACCTTTCACTTCTAATGTTATCCTTTCATAGCTTCCAAGTACGATGCCACACTTGGGGTATACATAATCTAGGTTTGACGCTAAATAAGGTCTTGAGCCACTGAGAATGAACAAGAGATAAACTCAGATACTTGAAAACTTCATAATATTTATTTGCTGGTGTACAGTAGTTCAAGTATTCAGAGTTTTAGATCCCTAGTGTTCAATTTCCTTTGATGAGGTTGTTTAGAATGAGGTTATTGAATTAAATTCCAGTAAATGTATTTCATCACAGAAAACTGTTGCTGTCTTACTACTAGCCTATTTTAAGCAGGTGTGTGATCTTATAGAATACGTGCTTTGATTACTCCATTTTTCCGAAACACTCAGTATTCAAAATTAATCAATGTCAGTTTCTGGCCTAAGTTGAAATCGATCAAAAACCCTGCAAACCAATTCTTGAAAATTAATCTAACCCTCATTAGTGGCTCACCACTGGATGAAGTGACTGTAGTTCAAGAGAGAAGTCATGACCAGTAAGGTTCACCAAGTCGGGTGACAGTCCAATGACACTGACTGATGGTTGCGCTATATCACGAAATGACAAAGTTTGGAATTCATAAACCGCCCGAGTGCCACCCGTTAGCTGAGAGACTAACGAACTAGCCTTGTAGCTTAAATGTACTGGGTTTCATTCCTTTTGTGCCCTGTCGAAGACTCATAAACTATGATGCAGCATCTTGACAGTACTTTCTAATTTCCGATGGGTCTCTAACTAATGTCAGTTCGCAGTCTAACTTTAAATCTTGATTTGTTTGGAATAGTGCCAAAATATGTTTACAGAAGAATCTGTTAGTGAAGAGTTTAGAATCTTTTTGGTGTGATTTCATTTGTGTGATATTTTATGTATTTCTCGATGTTATTCCTTACTAATGAATGCAGATTTTGTTTCTGAGATTTGCGTAAATGTCTTCGTATTTATGCATGGATTTTGCAGTGGCTTTCCGTTTGTGTTATGAGAACAGCTACTACTATGCCCATCAGGATGTCATTTATTTATTTATGATGACAATGCTTTTTGACTCTAATTATGTGTTCATCATAACTTCCTCATCACAATGTTCCAGTTGAGCTGTTGCCTGAATGTGGTTATTTTTGCTACTCATTACAGAACAGTACCTGTTACGTAAGTTAAAAGAATTTATTTATTTACTCACATTAAATGTATCAAAACATACCTAATTTCCCGATAACTGTGCTCAAGGATGATAGAGATAAATTGATTTTTCTGCCTTCGGTGAAACGTTTCCTATCATTTAGAGTTTTTACTCGTTCACTGCAACAGGTATAGAAAACAGAAAAATAAATTATTGTTAAACATGAGATTTTTCATTCATTTGCTCTCCCACTGGATCACACGGCTTTAAGCATCAAAGCTTTGACGTCTTGTTAATAGTATTGTTGTTTTCACGGGGTGTGTTTGTTAGCCTAGCATCCAACATCTCTTCTTTTCCAGGCTTACAAGAGGCTAGGCGAGGTTAAGAAAGACACTGATCGGGAATCAAAGGGTGTCCAAGGGCGTCTGTGGTTAGTAAGCATTTTATCCATGAACAGTACTTGCTCTGTGTTACCAGTGTTGCAACTATGTTTATTTATCATCACAATAATATTCCTCAGTTGAGTAATCCAGGTCATGCATTTCGTAAAAATGAACCTACTTACGCTTTACTATGAATTATGTCCCAGATTTTCAGACTCCGCACTCTGCATGACTGGGGAACTTAGACTAAGGGACTTTAACTCATGTACAGAGTTAACGAGTCTTGACTATGCCCCCATATTAACTACATAAATATTTCAAACCAAAAGCAGTGAATGGTACACCCTCTACCTCGAAATAATAGACAAGACTTGTAGCTAAGGTAAATGAATTTTACTTAACTATGTACTCTGAACTTGTTGGTTTGACTGCGAAGCTTTCATTGTCCATCTAAACAACATTCTCAGCGCAAACTTCAATATGAAGTGAACGTATTTTCCTTAAAACTTTTGTCATGATTGGCTGTTAATTTACAACTTTACCGACCATTTATATTGATTTGGAATTCGGACATTTTTGTCATTTGGTCGATTCTCCATTAGTTGATAAATTAAATCTGTAGTCATATTCCCCTCAACTCAGTATCCAGTAACATAAATTATCTGTCAAGAAACACGATATGTTTTTCTTTATATTGATGCACGTAGATGACTATAAACACTGTTTTCATTGGGAAAATGTGGAAATTCTAAAAAGTGGAAACGACAAAATACCGGAAATTCGTAAAAGCCTGGCACTCAGACGAACCGTTAGTGAACAGGCAAATTTAAGCCGATCACATTTACCAATTAATAAGTAATAAACCACATGAAGAGAAAGTTCGAATTCCAAGTCAATAAAAAGGATCAATGGAGATGTAAATTAGCAACCAATCACGACAAAGGTTTGTAGTTTATGCAGAAGTCTACACTGAAGATGTTGTCTAGGAGGACGATGAAAGCTTGGCAGTTAAATCAGCCAACTCAATTCAAAAAGTGGGTGTTTTTAATATGATAGGTAACCAATATCTACATCTTACTGCTGAGTTACAGATTTGCATTGCAGAATTGCATTGCATACATATAAGTGAATACAGAACATTAACTGAGTATGTCTATATGATGTCGTATATTCATAACCATATTACTGTATATTAGAGATACAAAATTATTGGGAGATCTTCAACTTACACATATGCCATGAAGTAAGGTATTTAAAAAATACATAGAAAGCATTTAATGGTAAATTTGCTCAGTTTTTCAACTCACCTTCCAGCCAAATCAATAAGGCAGAGTTTACTGTTTATTGTTCTAGGAAAATCAATGCCAGATCGGATCTATAATTTATAAAACAAACCATGTTTAGACGACTTTCTAACGCAATGAAACTTTTCTTCTCTTTCATATTCAGCATATGTAATAGTTATAAGTGTTGAAAAGGCAAATATTAACAGATTTCATCCTGTACTCTTTCTCTCTGTCCACAATGGCTTTACACTTATTGACATTAACAATATTGATGAAATGACTGAGAATATTTAAAGTGTATGAGACCCAAATAATAATGAAAAACACTAATCATCTTCAGTGGAAGAAAGCTGAAAGAATTCGTCTCTTTCATTTACTTGGAAAGCATAGTCTGAATAAGAGGAGTCTGTGGTGATTGACAGTTTCTATCTCTGTATTGTTTAAATACTTATTGTTGCTTGTTAATATATTTCTTATATGAATTGAATAATAATTCCGCCAAACACAATTTCCAGAATTCATCCCTCTCTGTGTTTTGGTTGAATTCTTTTAATTCGGTCATGTCGAAATACGAATACTACTATTACAAACATTTACAACAGAGTCACAAATGAGGACGTCACAGACAGCTTGGATCCAATGAAGAAAGCAGGATGCCTTCATTACTTTGAAATCAGTGTGGAGACCCATAGCACTTGGTGGGCATCCTAGATGTAACATTTTGAACACTAATTTTAATTCTTTGCTTGTATACGGTTCAGAAACTTGCTGTACGTGTCACGAAAAGCACTTCCAACAGCCTGACACAGATTTTCACTAATACCTTCCCTTCTCCACTCTATACTCAAGATCAGATGACCAGCCCAAAGGGATAAACAACAAAAATATCTGTTAGCAAACCAGACTTCTAAGAACCTCTTAACCAAAAAATATAAGGAAGGAGGTAGAAATGAACTGGTTGTACGCTGAAGAGACATTCAAGTGATATCATAAGGCAGAAAGGTTGTCGAGTGGAAACTGAATAGGGAGTCCGTGGGTTGAACGCTCTAGAGTAATATAGAAAGTATTGTGTGGCGAAGGGCCAACACTTTGAGGACAGCTGTGGAGGCAGATAAAATAAAATACAATCCATATGTGCCTCTGAAGCCCTATGTTCCTTCCTGAACCCATGAAACGAATAACAGTAGTAATAGTGACAGTGTTTTTAGTAAATAAAGACTGAAGATGCAATAAAAATCTATTCTACAAGTAAATTATCAACAGTTTTAAGACTCATTCATAAGAGTCTTTGTCAAATAGTTTATTTTACAACACTGATCGACAAGTGATGACATCAGTAAGTATGAAATTCTCAAGATAACTATACAACTAGATTACATGGATTCATTGCATACTTAAATATCTTAAAAGAAAGTATAATACATACATGACATTCCTCCTACGAAACAACTCACCTCTTGATAATAAATTGTACATATCACGTGACTCCGACTACTTTTCTCGTGAACGTGATTGGCAGCTATAGTCCTAGAAATGAAATAGCCAAAATTCAAGTGATACAAATCCAAAACACAGACTCTTTCAGATACTGATATCATAATGAGAGAATATCATATATAATTTGTTTTGTGCTGACAGTGACAAAATTGTGTTCGCTTTACCAACTAATGTATGCAAAACTAGCGAATGAATTTGTTTATTTCATACAAATACTTAATTAAACTGTCTCCTTGATGTTTCAGACTCTCAGTGGTAGAATGCTCATTAGCCACACAAGAGGATAGGTTTCGAATAAAAGTTAACTCACTCTTAAAACTCTCTTAGGTTATAAAGCATTAAGGTTGAGCCTAGATACTGGAACTTTCACACGAAACGCTGGGAACAGAAAAAACATTTCTCGGTTAGTATTTCTTTTACTTCTGCAGTCTTTCTTCAGTTAGATTTTATATAAATTTTTTATTTTTTTTTATTTTTTGATTTACAGCTTGATTCCACACTGTATTTTCGGTACAAGTATGGAATTTTCAGCATGGATATCGGTAGCCCAAATTTCGCAGGCCGACCATAGATATCAGATGTGCGTCGGTGCGGGCTCGAACCCCGGACCATGTGCATGGTCGGCGAGAGTCCTAACCACTGTGCCACCGACGCCCAGCAAAAGAAACGTGTGAAGTTAGAATGCTTAATATTTGTTTCACTCTATGTACAACTAACCTTAGCCAAATTGTATTTGTCTATTTTTACCTAGACATCTGTAAAGTCTGGAGAAATTTCATATTCTGATACAGTCATATCAAATTTACAGTTCGATCGTTCTGATGTCAGTGTAATAACTTCTGAATTATCAGTTTAGTAACCTTCTGCCTGATCTAGTGAATTAAATTTTTCAGCAATTTGTTCATTTTTCTTTCAATAAACCTACTACCATAAAGACATTTTTCAGATAATGAACACAGGCGATCCGAATATATTTAGACTGAAAACATTTCATAATCAAGGTCTGCCTACTATAAGTAATATATACAATTCTGCAAAAGTTTCACCTGTGAAAGAACAATATACATTTATAAGTAACAATTGGTGGATGGTGGCTAGCAGTGGAATCCAGGATGCGCATTTCGTCCTATTTGGGACTCGTCAACTGGATGTACCTGCATTTCTCAGTGAGTGATGATGATGTTCTCACCGAGGCTCGAACCCAGTGCCCATAGTCTCAAACGCCAAAGCGTTATCCACTGGACGACTTGGGCCACGAGAGACACCTCTTGGGCAACGAGTCATATTAGTTATTGAATTGAATTTTTGATGTTCCCGTCGACTGATTAAACAGAAGTGCTCGGTATCAGGTTGACATGTCGGCTTCTTGTGCAGATGCTTCGACGATGTCTGGGGATTTGATTTGTATACAATTGGTGGATGGTGGATAGCTGACGAGTCCCAAATAGGACGAAATGCGCATCCTGGATTCCACTGCCAGCCACCATCCACCAATTGTATACTAACTAAATGCCCGGACATCGTCGAAGCATCTACACAAGAAGCCAAAATGTCAACCTGAGACCGAGCACTTCGGTCCAAACAATCGACGGGAAAATCAAAAATTCAATTCAATAATTTATAAGTAACAAGTTGTACCAAAAATAGTTTTATTTTCCACCAGTCTGTATTTTGAGAATATTTATGGTATTATTTAATTATAACTGCAAATACGAATAGCCCAACGATCAGTGCTAAGTGTTCAGTACATTTTTACTTGTTCATCACTCCTAAATGGAGTGTTACCACGTGACTGAAAAGACGCTATAGTAACCCTCATCCACAAAGGAGGATCAAGACAAAGCCCTTCAAATTACAGGCCTATTAGTCTCACCAGCACTTTAATCAAGACAATGGAAAGAATCATCAAGAAAAGCATCATGGCATATCTGGAAATTAGCAGCTTGTTATCTAGAGCACAGCATGGCTTCCGAAGGAACCTCTCATGCCTGTCAAATCTCACTGCAAGAGAAAGCTGGGTCAAATCAAGGGACATCAGAAGACCTGTTGACTTCGTCTTCATAGACTTCGGCAAAGCCTTTGATAAAGTACCTCACAAAAGACTATTCGTGAAGTTTGAAAGTCTTGGTATCAAAGGCAGATTACTAAACTGGCTCAGGGATTTCCTCATAGGTAGGAGGCAGAGGGTTAGGATCAACTCGAAGCTCTCCTCTTGGATAGCAGTACGTAGTGGAGTGCCACAAGGCACGGTACTGGGACCTCTCCTATTTATTTTTTATATCAATGAGTTACCTCACCTCACCGAATCCCCTATGGTCCTATACGCAGATGACTTAAAAATTTGGAGAGTACTGAAGGGCAACAGTGATACGTCCACGTTGAAAGAGGACCTCAACAAATTATCAGAGTTGTTCATAGAATGGATGCTCCCGATCAATGTGACGAAATGTACAACCATGTGCATTGGACAAGCATTGGACTTAGGTGTCATAGTTAGCCACGACTTAAAAACTGCAGCACACTGTCGCGCGGTGGCTGCACGTAGTTTCAGGTCCTTATGGACGATTCGCAGAGCCTTTACTAGAATCACCAGAAATATGTTCACCTCCTTATATACATCTCTGGTGAGGTCAAGACTGAAAACTTGCATCCAGGCCGCCAGTTCTTGTTTAATAGGGGACTCACACATTCTAGAAACGGTTCAAAGGAAGGCAACACGCATGGTTCACGGCATGACTGACTTATCATACGAGGAAAGACTAGACAGTTTAAATCTCTTCTCCCTGTCATACCGTAGGCAGAGATGAGATTTAATCACAATGTTTAAAATTTTAAATAATGACTACGGATCTGACCTATTCTCTCTTTTCCTTCCCACCAGGTCGAAACATCTTAGAGGACATAGCAGGAGAGTTCAAAAGCCAAGAATAAATCATATTTCTGCTGAGTACTGGTTCTCACACCGAGTTATAAACTCTTGGAACCGACTCTCAGAAGTGGTGTCTGCAACCTCAACAGATTCGTTGAAGAAGGGTTTGGACAACCACAGAAATCTACTAGAAAAGGATTAACATAGGCTCCAAGCCTTCTATCCTAAACCAATAAATCTGAATCTGAATCACATTGTAATCCGGTTGCCCGTTGAATATCAATCTTAACACTATGAACAATACAAATGTTAGGAAATCTGCGACACACTCAGAGTAAAGAACACGATTCGGATTTCTAATAGTAACGTCAATTAGTGCTACTCTATGGTTCAGGGACTTGGAGCCTGCATCACATGAATAATTTCTAACGGTCTACTGAAGACTTTACCAACAGCTGCCTTAGCCGACTCCATAGCGAAGTTCAGATGGCCGTATGGAAGGGATTAACAGCAAGGAACTCTGTAAATGGATCAACCAGGAATCAATAGCCCTGAAATATGAAGAAGGAAATCAAGATGGATAAGAAGATCACTGAGTGACATCCCACGACGAGTCCTCGAGTGGCAAGTGAATGGGAAACGGCAATTTGAGCAACCGAGAGTGATATGAACGAAATCGTGTGGGGATGGGTAGATGGAAGATTATAGGCAATCGTGGATAGAACTGCAGATAATATGAATAATGGAGATTCGCTGTTGAAGCCGTGTGTTCTACTTGGAACTCAAAGCAATAATATTCATAAAATGTATTAATAAAATAAGCAAAATATAAAACGGAAACGTTAACTGGCCTTTAAATTAAGTGCCGAGGTTGTCAGTGTTAACCTTTAATGCTATAAGCAGTTTCTGGTAAGGAATAAATTATATTAGCTCATTGACGTGAGTCGGATTAGCTCTCTCAGTTATTCCACTACTCCTGATTTCGGATTGTTTTTTACTTTCATCGGTAATAACTGTTATGAGTTTCATTAAAATGACGTTGTTAATCATCTTCAAAGTGATTGTAAACTGGAAATTTTCATCTTGAATATACACCACTAATATGCGTCACTCCGAAGTTACTACACATTTAAAGTAATCCAACTAAACTAGTAAAATTGGTCACAAAGAATTTAATAACTTCGATAATGTACTCTCGTAATCAACAAATAATGTAAATTTTATCACTCGTGATGAGTTGCCCTTCAAGAAGTCAGGTGTTTGAAGAAGTAAGTAATCTTCTGAATATAGTCAGTTGCATTTCGTTAATTCAAAGTATTTCTCGACAAATAAGAAATAGGCAAAAAGCAATTTTTCGAGGAGATCCTTGGCTAAATTTCTGTATCCACGAAATTATTACAAGTGAGGCGACAAAGTACCATCAGTTGAGGAAAGATTGAAAACCGGAGAGTATTGGATAGATTTTTCATCCTGGTTACAGTTTTCATTCATAGCCTCTCCAGGGATTGAACTCAGGACATTCAGGTTATAAGGCCATTCAATTAATGAGATAGAATCTGGTAGCCCGAGAATTCTAACTTCTGCCATTTCACGATATACAGAACCAATGCCAGCAAATGTCGTCGGGTAGTTTTTGACCTCATACTCGACTTGATGAATTTCACTGGTCAGGATTTCTCAAGAGGATTAGAGCCTCAATGAATTCATGGGTGCATAACTCTAAATAGTCCCAAACTAGGATGAAACATATGTCCAGTACCCCATGATTTTCAAGGGATAACTAACTTATATTGCTTCGTGATCTAACCTAACTGAAATCTCTATAAGCTAACAGTTAAAAATCAAATTACTTTTGGTGATGCAATCAAGCTTGAGGGTGCGTCGGTGGCACAGCGGTCAGGGCGCTCGTCGACCATGCACATGGTCCGGGGTTCGATACCCGGCCACGAACGCACTCCTTTACCTCACTAAGCTAGAAATAATGCTGGTTAAAAGGAAAGGCTGGGCATGAGGCTAGCAACCCCATCCTGTAAGATTTAACACTGTTACAGAAACTTCAAGCCACTAGCTTGAAGCCATATGTTCCACTGGGAATGTGAAGGGAAAAAAATCAAGCTCGAGGAATAGAACTGGTGAAATACTGAAATCCAAAAAAAATTATAACCAGTTGCTTATTTCATGCATGTACACAAGAGTAGAACTTACCTATTTTTAATGCTTTTATTAATAGCTGTTTGTAATGTTTTTGTATCACACAAAGATAATTTTGTTAAACCTGTAAGAAAAATGAAATAGACGACTGAGAAAGTACTAACTAGTAATAGTGAAAGCTCAGGCTGAGGTTACTTAATAAATGGTGAGGAGTATTTTTCATTTTCAAATGGGAAATCTATTTAAACAAATTAAATATTGGCAGCATATTCCAGAAAGTGTTTTATGTAGGAAGACAAATAATTAAGAAAAGAATGGATAAAACCAGGCTACAATACAGAAGTGGGTATTACATCATATATGCAAAAGCGGCTTAACCTGAATGTAAAAAAAATGGATACTGAAGCGGAAAAGATTTCTTAGTTTTTAAATGAAATCAGTATAACAGAGTAGCAGCAAAAAGTCTTTTTCGCTGTTAAATCTTCTTCTTCTTCTTTTTATGAAGTTAACTAGATTCTTTGTTTTCCGTATAAACTTTCAAGCAATGTCAAGTCTTAGGTTAAAATTAAAGTTGTACAGACACAACAGGTCTTCAAGGATATATATCACAACTTTCCAGAACAATACAAAATCGTTCACACCAGGTGAAATATTCCTTTTATAAAAACAATAAATTTTGAGGAGCTTAGTGAAAAAGTTTTAGTGCAGATAAATGATTGTCAATTGTCGTCAATAAATGAAATAAAAGTCCTTAATTCCTGCATACTATAACTGAAATTTAGTCAGTCTAGTCATTATATCTGTTAGATGACTGAAGGTAATCGACAGAAAGCCTTGAATTCAAGTTTAATGCTTGTTGACACTCACGAATCAGCAAGACGTATCTGCAATTCTGCAGGAACGCATGTATCTCCTGAGACATGAGGCTGAATCATCTAGTGCCACAGTCAGAGACCTTACCAGCGAGCCATTCCTGCTCGACTAGACAAAATGAGACTGGTTACTAGCAAATGTCCACTCAAAGTCACTGTGTCTGTCAGCTATGTTAATTTCATTACTAATATAAAGTATTAATGTAATTTCTTTCTCTTAGATGAAGTTAGTTATTCAAGTAAAAGAATCCAATCTGATGAAATACAGCTTAATATTATATCACTGCAAAGTCATTTTCCTCAAAGCGTTTCCTTTGTGAAATGATGCAGTTTTATTCAAAATAAGAATAACTACAGCGAACTATTGTTTTCAGTAGATTTTTTTTTCAGGCTTTGCAGTTATAAATCTATTAATTTCAGCATACAATAGCCATTAAAGACAAATTAGAATTGTATCAGTGAGTGTATTGTCTTAAGAGTACATGAAGGAATAATATTCAGTGACTTTTAATTATTATTTACGTGCGTATATTTAGCATAATCTATGCGTTCGTTTATTTTTCTATAGTATTCATGTTATCCACCACATAAATGCCCGCGACTTATCTCATTGAAGCACTACTTTTGTTGAATATAAACGCATAAATAAATTTCATTTTATGTCGTGCTCTTATTCACCCTCTATTATATTTGCATTTACATGATGAACCAAATTCATTGACTATTATTCCATCTTCCAAATTTAATACAACAGATTTTATGACATAATCCTAATTTGCCTTTGGTATTAGATGGTTGGGCGTGTCGGTGGCATAGCGGTTAGGACGCTTGCCAACCATGCACATGGCCTGGGGTTCGACACCCGGCCGGCGGACTCCTTTACCTCTCTAAGCCAGAAATAATCCTGGTAAAGAGGAAAAGGTTGGGCATGAGACTAGCAACCCCATCCTGTAAAAATAAACACTTTTACAGAAACTTTAAGTCACTAGCTTGAAGCCCTATGTTCCACCGGGGAATGTGGAGGAAAAAAAATTAGATGGTTGGAGGCAATCGACATGAAGCCTTGGATCTAGGTTTTGTGTTAGTTGGCAGTCACTGGTCAGCAAGACGTATCTGAGACCTTGAAGGAACCCATGTCCCTTCTGAGATTTGAACCATCTAATACCGACTACTCAGATTTGACCATGATGGCCAGCCACCTGAAATGTTGACCACATTGCCGACGTGACAGATATAATTAAGTCTGCACCGAGCAGAGGACTGGACACATTATGCTAGTTACTCGCTAGTGTCCAGTCAAAAGTGATTTAACTTCAGTGATTTGCCTTTACTGGCAACTGTATGCAAAAATTAGTGGATTTATAAGTGCAGAACCTAAAGAAGAATATATTGGAAACCGTTGTTTACTGTAATCAGAGTTCTTTGGTCTAAACGTAGGCGATAATTGGAGCAGACGTTTGAAGAAGCATTTTTCACATTTTATCAAGCTACAAGTGACACCACTGTTCTATACAAATCATCAAATGACATTACGCATAAAATATAATTTCAAAAGAAAAAAAGAATCCGAAAGTCGACATACCGCTTATATTAAGCGTAAAAACATAATCCGTTCTTAGGCCGAATACAGGAGTATTTATCAGTCCATTACCTTTAATAAACACTGTAAATATTTTAGTAATCTATTAGCTATGAATCATGTAAGAGAGGTACCACAATGTGACTGAATTTCATATTGTTATTATTAAACTAAACATTAGGGCAAGAGAAGATTAACACTTCTTTTTCAGAATGCTTAATGACGTAACACAAAATTATAGATAAAAGGTGCAATGCTGTTGAGTGATACTGAAAAGATACTACTTAAATTAGTGCATAGACCATATCACTAATTATTGTCAAGCTATCAAGTCTTCTGGGGAAAGGTCTGTTAGCCCTTAAAGCTTATTAATATGACATACAGTACTATTCAATGCTCAGTTAATGGATGCCGGAAAAAAACAATTACGTTAAGGATAAGATACTATTCGCTTTATTTTATTTCTTTTGCGTTTTTCCCGTTTATCGACGTATATTTAGAGAAAATGCTCGGCTTCTGTTGACATGTAGGCTACGGTTAAAGACGCTTCGACTATGTCGAAACATCGACACGATATTACCTTATTGACAGTAGCTAACAGTTGAATGCATGAGTTCAAAATAGGCCGAAATATGCATGGTGGATTCCACTGCTAGCAACTATAAAGCCAAATAATACGCTTCACTTTACTGTATATATATAGAAACGAAGCTGACAACATAAACAGAACAGATAGTAATCTGCTGAAGGAGTGATTTCATTTCTTGCATCTATATTTAAAGAATAGTAACTGACAAATTCTTTTTATGATCAAGTGTATTTGAATTATGCTGAATTTCCTATGTAACTACATTCAGGCTTGTGCCTTGATTATGTTACTCAGATGTTATGTAAAATTGTACAGGAATTTAAAGTCATCAAATTACTTCCTTGCCTCTGTCGTACAAGACTGAAATAGATACTGCGTTCTAATGACGCCAAACTACAAGTGATGAAAATCGTGGGAGTAAGCTTAAAAAAGATAAATGGAACCTTCTACTCAGAAATAAAATTCCAAAATTTAGTAGGAACACGTAAGTGAGTCCTACATTAAACCACAAGAACATTTTTATTTACACACGAAAAATCTCCTGAAGGATTTTCCCTTGAATATTTCGTTCATGGCACTGAAAAGTAAATCAAGTGGTGTAACTCGTTTTTCACTATCTGCTAAATTAATTGAACCTGCTACAGTGCACATATTAAATTAACATAAGAAGAGTTTCTGTACGCGACAAAGAGTGCAAAATTTCAAGCTAGGTAACATATACCATAGGTAATACTTATAATTTGTTATCATTTGTAACAACTATGAGGCCCAAAGATCCAGGCCCTTTGAAGTTTGCTATCAAACGTCATGTGCTCATATATCTGCCAGCTTTTTACTGCTACGAGTAGTTGAAAAAATCTGCCAGAAAACGCAGTGAAAAGTTTCAGTAGGTCATTTTATCTCTTCAGAATATGTTTATTCGGAAACAATGGATTTTTACCTGAAGTTTACTCATACCTACTTAAAGATTTTAAAGTTCAGTACTTTTTATAATTACGTCATCTATGACGTCAACTGAAACTGTGCAACAGTCAAACATCCCCAAAATTATTTGAAAAGCTAACGTTACACAGAATGCAATACTTCATATCCCTATAAAGTTAATATATACAAAATATTTTTCCTTAATGCCCACATTTTAAAGCTGTTTACATTGTAAACACTTAAAAAGAATTAGTAAAATAGATTTATGTCTGATTTACCTACAACACGCGTTTTACTTCGCATGATATTTATGTTTAAAAACAAGAAGAATGACATGCCTAGAAATCTTACTGTTTTCACAATGTACTGATTCTAAACATATAAGATATACTGTACTCAAACATACATAGTTAATTCTTCTTATTTTTATGCTGATTGCTGGAGAAAATGGGCCTAGCATAATGAAAAGTAAGTCACAGAAATGCATTGTTTAGTCTCGAGGGTGTAATCACTGTGATGTTTCAAGTTATTATTGTTTGTGATGACTTAGTTGTGCGATTGTGATCTGCAGCACGGTTGCTTAGCTGCATAACTGACCATCATCGAGCAATTCAGACTGGTTTTATGTGGTTGGGCGCAGTCGGCTGAAAGCCCCTGATTAAGATTCAATGCTTTTTTAAGCTCATTAGCAAGTCGTACCTGCAACCTCGAAACAACTTATTTTCCCAAGAATATTTCAATCAACATCATCCAGTGCATCAGCTAGACACATTACCACTACGTTATTCGTACGTACGATTGACCTCAGTCAGCAATAACACGCTTGAGAGTAACCAGTATTATGCTTCTACTGTTCTTACTGTTCAGTCATAAATCCGAAAAGCTAAGTAGTAACATATGTAGCTTTATCAGACAGTGATGCGGGTGTGAATTTCTAAGGGGATGTGAATCCCTTCAGTCTTGCGCTTATGTCTTACTGACTAGAATCAACAAGCATGAAACCCAGGTTGATGAGCTTTGGGCCATTAGCCTCCAACCATCAAAGAACAAACCATAAAGCAGTTATATGGTGGCATAACAGAATTTAATTAAAATGTACAACTAATCAAGGCTTCCGGCATTATGGTCTGTGTTTTTCAAACAGAGTAATCTCAGATATA